ACTCTAGCACTATATAGCTATTATAGCTATCTAGAATTAAGAGCCTCTTTTAGCTAATAGTTCTATACTTAGTATAGTTATTAAAGTACTAGATCTACTAGACTATATAATTATAGGATATCTAGCCTTTTAGACTAACTCTAAGCTTCTAGTTTAGTAGTAGGTATTTGAACTAGGCTCTGTTTATTTCCTTACTAGAGAAGATAACGTATAGAGGCACTAACTAGCCTTCTATATTAATATAGGCAATAATAGTCTACTACTACGTTAAATTAGAGACTAAGGCCTTAGGTCGTTGCCTACGCTCTATAGCAGTTATAACTATAGTATTCTTACTATATCTAAGCCTAAATCCACTCTCGTTAAAGTTATAAATGTCGTATTATATAATTCTATAGAAGGCTATTATGTTGTAAACGAGCCTAAACTACTCTAAGATAACCTCTAGATCCTTATTCTTTGCCCTTTAGCTTAATAACCTCCGTAATAGCCTTGTTTCTAAGCCTAGATAACGATTAACAAAGTTATAAGCCTGTCTTTAGCCAACCTCTTGTCTATTCCGTACTTTAGTTATTAAGGACGCCCAGCTTCTAATTACAGCCTATGTTGGCGAGTAACTACGTGAATCTAGGTCCAGAATCTTCTGATAAACTACCTCCTCTTTAACCGGAGTTAAGGCTCTGTTCGTTGGCGGTGTACTAGTCTTTGGAGCCGTACTATAGAGTCTGCGGTTGACAGTAGAATATTTGACTCCGTAGGCGGCTGCAGCGCGTCGCACGCTTGGAAATCGACCTAACAGGTAATTACGAACAGCATTCTGAATACACTCTTCGTTTGGAGGTGCCATCGCGTAAAATGGTGGAATAATGGACGCGTTTAGTAATAGTGGTGGATACGAGATGGAAGTTGATGCACATGCCTATCTGATTCACATGCTTATCAAATACGTTAGTACCATGCCATTTAATACAGATGTCACTGCCACCTATTGTGGCTGCGTGACCGACTCTGTCATACATTTGTGACTAACATGATAGGCAACGAGCTTCATGCTTGTGATAGCCCACTAGTCAAAGACTATGTGCCTCACGAATCAGGCCTCTCAGCACTCTGCCCCGTTCACCTTGATGACTTGTCCTGAGATCCAATTACTTTCTCCTCTCCATAGCAAACTGACGGCATCAGCCACTTCGCCCACTCTGCCAAGCCTGTTGAAAGGACTGAGTGCTGTCAGAGCCTGCGTATTTTCCTCATTGTTGGCCTGCACAAAGCTCTCCGTCTCGACTGGCCCGGGCAATACGGCATTGACGCGGATTCCGCGCTTCGCGAGTGCTTGAGCAAGTGACCGCACCATGATATTGAGCGCCGCTTTCGTGGCGATATAGAGAAATAGCTGTGAGGGAAGGGCGCTAAAGTCGGTGAGGTCGGATGAAATAAAGATTATCCGACTTCCGTTTGCCATGAAAGGGAAAGCCGCCTGTTAATCCATGATTAGTAGCTCTTCTACGTGGCAAATGATAAGCAGAAATTCAACCTGAGTAAGGAATAGTGGACCTTTCACGTTCAACCCAAATGCAGCATCGAAGTCTGCTTCCGTTACTGATTCGAATGCGGTTGTAAATGCAGCTGCAGCATTCGCGACTAGCACGTCAATCTTTCCAAAGCGTGCAACTGCTGCTTCGACCAGCCGGGACACCTCTGCGGGGACTGCCATGTCTGCCTGCACCGCAATTGCGCGATAGGAGCCAATTTCGGAGACAACATCGTCGGCCCCAGATTTATCTGTTCTGTAGTTGACGACCACGGAAGCGCCTTCGCTGCCTGCCTTCAGGGCTATGGCTTTGCCAATGCCTTTGGAGGCACCAGAGACCAGGATCACTTGGTTTGCCTGGATCATGTTCGACATTTTCGACTTGCTTGCGACTAGCTCAGACGCCAGGGTGTAGCGCCTCAATCTTAAGTGTAGGCTGGCCATGACTTCTCAAGTTACCGCAAGCGGACATTCGAGTCGTCATGGGAGCGGACATATCGCTATGCCGAGCGGTCCAGTCGTAGGGCACTCAGCGAAAGTAACCCTTCGCTCTCGGCCATTGTAAAGTGCGAGGTCCAGTTATTTTACGAGAAGTGTTCGGTGGCGCTTTTCCTAGCGATTGTAGGCGCGAAGCTCGGATTCCATCTTCTTTGCCTTGAATCATGGCAGACTTTACCCAGTCGGCTAGGGATCAGTCGCTGGTCAATCAGTTCATTCGACATGGTCTGTCAGTTACGAGAGGCGATTGGGAGGCTAGTAGCTTCGTCCCAATTGTGCACAGGTGGCGATCGAGAGAGTGCCAAAAACACAAAAGGTCTGCATACCACCGGAAGCGTGTGTAGCGGGCTCGGCGACGAATTGCCTTTCTAGGTCCTGAGTTGGCGAGAGCGAAACGAGCTACCTTCGTTCTTCCAGAGCGCGGTGGAGTGGTACGAACTGCCTGGTCGACCTGTCCCTGGCTTCGTTTATGGGACGTCCTGGCTGTTGGGCCTTTGGCAACACGCTGCCACGAGCAAATCACGACAACACGTGATGACCGGTCGGAACATGCTGGTCGCAGAGTCCATTTGCCCTAGCTGCTGCGGTATGCTCTTCAGATCTTCCTGAAAAGGCAATGCATGACAGTGAGACCATGCATGTCAGGTCCGGGAGTCTGGATCAATATAGTCTTGCTTGTTGGCAACGAAGCTGAAAATAGCTTGGCAGTCAGATGCAGATGGCTCGAGGTGGCCGGCAGGACGGTGCATCGCGAATTTGGTAGGTCATGGATACATAGTGATCCGGCAAGAAAGTGCGCCTGATGCTGGGTGAGATCCAACACAGTGTGTGGTCGGAATTTGTGAATTGCAGTGCACACCAATTCCGCGAAGTCGCGTGTCAGCCATGCGGGCGAGGTCGATCTTTGTGCCGAGGCCCAAGGTAAGCATTGCATACAACAGATCACAACACTTAACACTCTTCACTCTTTCATTCTCCCAGCATTCTGTCCGAGAATCTCTAGCTCAAGGAAACGAATCATCATAATGGCACACTCATCTGTCAGCGCCAATCTGGCTGTCTCCAACCTCTTCGATGTCAGCAATCATGTCGTGCTCGTCACTGGTGGCGCTACTGGATTGGGTGAGATGGGAGCCCAGGCCTTCATCCAGAACGGAGCACATGTGATCATTGCGAGCAGAAAGAAGAGCGAACTCGAAAAGACTTCTGCAAGACTGAACAAGCTCGGCCCGGGAAAGTGTGATTATATTGTCGCGGACTTGAAGGACAAGGCTGGTGTTCAAGCACTCTGTGCCGAAGTCAAGAAGAAGACTGATAGACTGACTGTTCTGCTGAACAACTCTGGTGCCACATGGGTAGGTTCCAATTTCCACATCCCGAGAGTGACCTGTTCCTGATGAGTTTCACAGGGCGCGCCATACGACGACTTCCCCGAATCCGGCTGGGACAAACTCATGGCTCTCAACGTCAAATCCATCTTCTACACAACTGTTGGTCTCCACGACCTTTTGGTCAAGGGCGCCACAGCAGACAACCCTTCCCGCGTCATCAACATTGCCTCCATGGCAGGTATCACAACTGTCGATGTCACGACCGGCGAAGAAGGCGGTCTCGCAGCACCAGGCTCCGGAACATTCTCCTACGGACCCTCCAAGGCTGCCTGCATCCATCTCTCGAAGATGCAAGCGAGCAAGCTCATGCCAGATCATGTCACAGTCAACTGTATCTGTCCTGGTGTGTTCCCATCGCGAATGACGGCTTTCGGAATGGAATCTGCGCTGGACACGCTGGTTTCTGGTCAGCCAAGCGGGAGAGTAGGAAAGCCGGATGATTTTGGTGGATTGGTATTGTTTTTGGCCAGTCGTGGTGCGGCACACATGACTGGTAATGTGTTGGAGCTGGACGGAGGTGCTACGCAGAGCGGGTTTAGGAGTCGAGGAAAGGGAAAGTCGAAGGAGAAGTTGTAGATGAAGAAAAGGCAATGTATGAGAGGTGAGAGTTTCTCTCAATCGTGATGTCTGACACCAGAATGTCATCGCCGCTGCAGCCGGGCTTCCCAGCAGTAGTCCTAGACTGCATGCAGTACATAGCCGCCATTGTACCTATACTGCTGCCGACGTTGTTGTTGTTGTTGTGTGCTTGGAGAGAGAATGTGAAAGAAGGTTGCTGATGATCCCTGCCCGGAGGAGCTAGGAGCACTCCACCCCCAAACCACCAAAAAGCACGGCGCGTTGTCGCCCTGTTTCCTCGCGATAACAAGCCGATATGACCGCATATGTCCCCACGAGGTGCGGGAGCTTTCGCTGCGACATGACGAGAGCATCTGCATCACCTCGTGAAGACTGCCATCTTGCATGCGCGCCAGGCTGATCCTCGCAAGCATTCGAAGCTTCTACTCTTGGAGCTCCTTACACAGCCCCGACGATCACGCTGCAGACAACGATACACACAAGATGGAGGAGCAAGTGGCACGTCTGGTCGACAAAGTATGGGACAAGGTACAGGATGTGCCAGCGAGCAAGAGATACATGGTGGCAGTGAGCGGGATACCGGGTTCCGGTCAGTCCTTTACAATAGTACGACAGCTTGGATGGCATGCAGTGCTCACACGTTTACAGGCAAGACAACATTGGCAGCCAAAGTTGCAGACGCTCTTAATGAACGCTATCGCTCCGAGACCGCCGCCCGCACGGCCAACTCCCTCCTCGCGACTTTCCTGCCCATGGATGGCTACCACCTCACGCGCGCTCAGCTCTCCGCCCTTCCCAATCCAGCCAATGCTCACGCCCGTCGAGGCGCAGCCTTCACATTCGATGCTCCCGCTTTCCTCGCTCTCGTGAAAAAGCTTCGCGAACCCATCTGCCCCGAGACTGGCACAATTTACGCGCCGAGCTTCGATCATGCAGTGAAAGATCCAGTGCCAGATGATATCCCGATTCGAAAAGAGAGTCGAGTGCTGGTCATGGAGGGCAACTATCTGAGTTTGGGAGAAGGCGAGTGGAAAGAGGCGGCCGAGTTGATGGACGAGCTGTGGTTTGTGGAGGTGGATGAGAAGGTCGCGAGAAAGAGGTTGATAAAGAGGCATGTCGAGGCAGGGATTGCGAGCAATGACGAAGAGGCGGGGAGGAGAGCGGACGAAAACGACTTGGTCAATGGGAAGGAGATTATCGAAAAGCGGTTGCCGGTGCATGAGGTGATCGTCAGTGAAGAGGATGAGCGGTGGAAGCCGGAGGCGCAGGGTGTGTAAGAGCTCTACATTCTTCGCTACAATAAGAGCTACGTCCGACCATTCGGCTGAATCGCCTCAAGAATGTCCATGACCAGTATCGGAGTTCGAGACAAGTTCGTCGCACTGAGAAGGCGTGAAACAGCGATGCACGTAGCCGTGCGGAATTTTCTGCGAGTTCTCTCGCTGTTCGAGTTGTCAATGCATTGGCAAGGCAAGTACTCCTACCCACTCTCAACACGCGTTTGGTCGCGTCCTTTGCCACATCCACCTCTCAAAACACTCCGCCAGCAGCATGACAGGTATTGCAAGCAATCTCCAAGTCGTTGAAAATGACGCACAATCTCCTCTCCACGACCTTCCGATCGAGCTTCTGGAATGGATCCTGCCATATCTGGAGTCAGAGGACTTGTTCAACTTGAGACTGGCATCTACGGAGCTCGCAGCAAAGACTGTAAAATACATGGCAAAAACTTACTTCACGTGGCTACATATTTTCATGTTGGATTCCAGTGGCATATCGAGATTGATCTGGATCGCCAAACACCCGGTGTACAAGTCAGCGGTCAAAAAGATCGAATTCAACGTTGCGGTCCTGCAAGATCCCGAGGAATATGAACATGACACATGGACGGATCCGTTGTATCTTACGCCAGAGAAGATTCTCAAGTATCGCAAGCTATATGCCGACCACATGGACTTGCGCGCCCAGGCCCGGCATCGCTTGAAGCTGGTCCTGAACTTGTTCCACCTTGCTGGCAATGTGCCAGCAATCAGTGCAACAACGTATGGACCGCTTGCGCTGTTCATGGACTGCGGTCATCCAAGTGCCTGGGGAGTCCATTATCTATTCAGGGAGCATGGGGATAGGGTTGTCGTAAGAGGCAATGGGATTGTGGAGCAGAGCGTGTATGCCGCTCTGTGCTGGGCAATTTTTGAGTCCGCAGCGCAGATCGGCATCCTTAACCTTGGGGGCCTAGGCCATAGCATTGACCCATGGCTTTTTGGTTACGCAATGCTCGTTTTACCTCATAGTGCTCCATTCACCCATCTGCGATCCCTGACATTATCCCTGCCTCGACAAAGGTGGTTGAACGGGCTCAAGGGCGCGGACATGAGGGAGAACTATCAGACCATCGAACTCAACCGCATTGCTCTTCTGACACTCGTATCACAAGCCGAAAAGTTGGAATACTTGGCCCTCACCTGCGACTTGGGTCACGATCTCGAGGGAAATCGGGAATGCAATGCGATCTTCTTTCGAACGCTCGCCGAAGACCAACTTCCTAAATACGCCAAACCACTCCAGCACATCATCGACATGGAGCTTGAGTGCCACGAGATCCCAAAGGCAATGCTCTTGAAATTCCATTCGGAATCACAAAACAACGTTGAGATCGCTGAATCTTGAAGAGATTGATGATGGAGATAGAGACGACCCAGACATCAAGCAAGACATATTCGCCGCCGCCCAGGACATTGTCGGTTTCAAGCTCAGGATGAGCGACGTATATGAGGGCGGGCAATTTGTCGCGAACCACGAAGACTCGCCTGAATGGGAAACGATCGAATCGTGGAATTGTTCTTCGATCACGTAAAATCTCCTGGCAGAGCGTGGAAAGTGAGATTTGAGTCCGATCGTGTTCAACGCCATTTGGTCTACCTTCCATCACGCTTCACTTGTGCTCAATGGCATCTCCCGATCATGGCTCACAGCGCGAGGAAGGCCTTTGCACGAAAAATCCATCAGCGGTCGGGTCCTTTCGACACAACCCATAAGACTATTTTGCTCCGATCATCCCCATCTCAATACGACAACGAGAAATGCCGTAAGCCTGCCTGGCCGCCCGATTCACTTGCGGAAGGTCTCACGTGCTGTGCTCGGCTCCACCTCCTTCCCAGTCAGCCAGGCCATCGATCGTGAGGTATTGACTTCAGTGGAGCGAGCGAGGCTGCCGTCGTTGGCCTCTGCTACGAATTCGTCGAAACAGCGGTTGGTGATGAGCATGCAATGCGTTTCCATCAATCGTTGACGATCCGGACGGTTGATGGAAGTACATCAGTATCAATGCAGATGATGTCGTACTGGCGCTAGGGAGCGAAGCTCGCTTCACTAGGCAGCTGATTTACCCTGCGGAGCTAGAGCATTGAATTCGACGGCGAAGGGATATATTGTGGGAATAGACTGTATCCATTTCTACGGCAACGGTAGCTACCCTGGAGCTGCAATCGTGCATCCACAGTCGAGCCCAGGAGTATTTTTCGAAAGCCGCATTGGCGGTTCACAAGTCTCCGATGACCTGTCGTCACCTACGCCGACCTCCCTGCTCTTGTGATGTTTCTGCGATTCAGCGCAGCAGCTTAGGCTTTTGCATCACTCCCGTATGAGGCCGCAGTCCGGAATCTGATACGCGTTCGAAGGCATATTCGTAGTGAGCGTTGCTTCGGAGTCGACTGGCATGATGAAAAGCTTGCTTTCTCACATGTCCTCATTTCTAACAGCGATGTCTGTATTGTCAGCAGCAAAAGACGAGTATTGCCCATGCTACAGCAAATCTGTTCGAAAGACTTGCCCTGTCACTCGCGTCACGTGATGGCAGCATCAATTGAATCCCTGGACTCGAGCCTCGTGTGGGAACAACTCAACCGACGGGAGCAGTGGTATGTTTTGCGATGGAAGCTGCGTCGGACACAAGTACAAAGGAGGCGTTAGCTTCCAACATGGTAGCTTGCTCGTTGTGGAAAGTATATTTCGCGAGTAAGAGCGTCAGAGCTAAGGGAGTATCACACAGTCGCTGATTAATCGATAAATCACGCCACTGGGCCAGGCCTGGGGCTATATGACCGGTGAAGACAGTCCACCAACTACACACGAGCAAATGAAAAGAATGTTGCAGACGATGCTCGTCAGAACCAGGGGTATCAAGACGGTGGAAAGGCAACAGCTTACACGCCTACCTGCGAAAACTGTTCAAGCAGACTGACACCTGCAGTCTTATGAGTAATATTAGAGTCGAATTTCCCGACGGGTGAGGCGGCGGAGAACGAGGAGAAAGTATATTGTGGCTCACCTAGAGTGCTCAAGCGTGTGAAAACTGACATGCGACGAAATGAGGTGATGGTCGATCAACAGAAAGGTCAACGGCAGCGAGCTTGGCTGCGGAGGAGGATCCGTGCACAGGCCTATTCAAGCGAGGCTTGGCATGCGAGGTGAAGTTGACATCCCCGCTCTTTCTTGGTCGAGCCACTGTTAGCGCACTTCCTTACCTGTGGCAACACGAAGTATTTGCATTGCGACTCAACGGCATCCGCGCGCATCATCGCAGAGATGGCCTCATGCTGCCTGCATCTTGCGTGTTCTGGAGACAATCAATACAGCATGGCTGCCACGCGGAGCACGCAGAGCATGCGAACAGGGCGAATGGCGATCGCACCTTGCCCGTCGAGTGATTCTTGCACGTGCAAAGACCACGGTGGAAAGCTCATAGCAGACGCAGAGTGATGAACAATTACAGGGATCATGCAGGCAACGACCAGACTTTCCAAGCTGTCTGCCGCGTTGTCGCAGCTCTGGAGCTCTTGTTCCTCCGGAAAGCACGAGATCCGAGCGTTGCGGAAGTCAGCCATTCCGTGCTTGGAGGCCCAAATGAGGAAGCGCTAAGCCATATCTGAAGAATATTGTTGACACGCTTACCGCAAGTAGACTTCCAACAGCACATACCAATCTCCACTCTGAAAGGATGAGCGCCAAACCATTGGCAGCGCGACAAAGTAGAGACCGGGCCAGAGCGGCTGCTTGGCATCAATCTTGGGCCGTCGTCTTGTACTGGTACTAACCGCAACCGAACATGTATGCTTAACCTTATTCTCATCTGCACATGGCGGAACTTGCCAACGTGTTTGCAATAATTAAAATTGGTCGATGAGGAGATCTCAACCTTCGATGATGATGGCGTCGACTCAGCCGCGGAGTAGCGCGTCCTGCGAGGGGGTACAGAGGTATAACAGCTGGACGGCCCCAACTGAATCGATCTTATCAAGCACCATCTCATCAGGTTGAATACACTCTTTTCACACCAACCCCCAACCGACAAGATGCACGCCGCTCTCGCCGCTTCGTTCGCAGCTCTTGCTGCCGCTGCCCCTGTCGTGCAGCGCCAGGCCGCTCCACCGCCAGCTGGCATTGACGATGCCGTCATCCTCCAGTATGCGCTGTCTCTCGAGCACCTCGAGAACACCTTCTACCGCGAGGCTCTTACCAAGTTCACCGCTGCCGACTTCAAGGCCGCTGGCGTGCCATCTGCTGAGGCCTTCTACAACAACCTCCAGCAAATCGCCAAGGACGAGGAGACCCACGTCAACTTCTTGGAGACTGGTTTGAGGGATGCTGGTGCCACTCCTGTTGCCGAGTGCTCCTACAACTTCGGCTACACCGATGCGCAGAGCTTCTTGGCTACTGCCAACATCCTCGAGGGTGTCGGTGTCAGCGCCTACCTCGGAGCTGCCAAATACATTAAATCTGCAGACTACCTGACCGCTGCTGGCGCTATCCTCACTGTCGAGAGCAGGCACTCTTCGTACCTCCGCAACGTGCAGAGCCCTCCACAATCTCCATTCCCAGCACCATTCGACATTCCTCTCGAATTCAACGAGGTCTACTCTCTGGCCGCCCTCTTCATCACTGGCTGCCCAGACACCCCAGGCACCACTGGTCTTGGCCTCAAGGCCTTCCCAGCCATCACCGCTGCCCCAGCTGGCATCTCCAAGGTCGGTGACGTCCTCACCTTCACTGTCGCCCAGGAGGTCGAGGCCACCAACGCCTACTTCATCACCTTCCCAGGTGGTGCCATCCCAGCCGAGATCACCGGCTCTGGTGCCAACTACCAGGTCACCGTTCCAGCTGCTGCTCAGGCAGGCCAGGCCTACGTTGTCCTCACCAAGAACGGTGACAAGCCAACTGACGACAACATCGTTGCTGGCCCAGCTGTTCTCCAGATTGCCGACAACGCTGCTGAGTTCCAGGCCCAGAACCCAGGCTACGACTACAACCCAAAGGACTGCAAGGATGACAAGCCAGGCCAGTACCCAACAAAGGGTGACTACCCATCGCACCCTGAGGCACCAAAGGACTACCCAGCTCACCCAGGTAAGTTACACCCATGGTCTTTAACCATGTCGCTGAACGAGTCTCTCGTTCGCCAGCTTCTACTTTGACCAGCTACTAACATGTCAAATAGAGCAGCCAAAGTCGCCAGAGGCACCAAAGGACTACCCAAAGCATCCTGAGCAGCCAAAGTACGAGCACCAGCCAGAGGCTCCTAAGTACGATGCCCACAAGCCAGAGCACAAGCCAGAGCACGAGGACAAGCCATCCACCTACCCAGTCAAGAACGGCGAGAAGCCTGAGGAGGACTGCCCTGAGGAGGACAAGCCTAAGACTCACTACTAGATGTATTCACCTGAGAAGTGCATAAGAACGTCGACTCATGGGAGTCACGTTTTGAGGTGGATTGATGATACTTAGCGACTGCTCCCGTCATCTCGTACTTATATTCTGATAATGTCTACAACTTTATGACACACACTCTTGTGACGAGACTGAATCTCGTCGTCTCGTCGTTTTCTTCACCTCTCAAGAATATTTTGTGCTCGTGATCTCAGTCCTGCCCCTGCAATAACCCCAAGTGTGCTGCTGGAGCAGTTTGATTAAGCTCTCGCAGTGTGTTGGTACAGCAATAGCTGAGCTTCAAGCTTGCATACGTGGGGCCCACTCCAATGCCAACCCGACATCGGTCGCCACATGTGATCCTTAACCTCCCAGAACCATACCGAGCAACACTCCTCACACGATTCTACGACGAAGAAATAGCAATCACCATGTCCCATCTTCCCAACGAACTATGGCTCCACGTCCTCCACTTCTGCTCTCCAATCGACGCATGGCGAGCTCTCCGCCCTCTGAACCACCAACTCAAGTCCTGCGTAGAGCAACATTTCGAGCGCGAGATTCTCCCCCACATTGATATATCAATGCCCGTAGCTCTCCCATCATATGATGCTCGAATTCAAACAAAAGGCAGAGCAACCTTTCAGCCTGTTTCTCCTCGTTCTGGACGAGATGCCGAAAGATTACATTTGGTCTTAACGAGCACGGATCCGGATTATTATCATGCGCATTTCCTGGCACGTTGGAGTGGGATGCGGAATCCGATTGATGGAGCTTTGAGTCCGAATGTGAAGTGGGATGTTGGGCTGGGGAATTGGGAGAGAAGGATGAGGCTTCTTGGTGCGAGAGCGGAAAATATGATGAAGGAGGATGGGGTTGGGTTGAGTTTTGAGTGGAAGGGAACGATGACGGGATTGTTTAAGTCATGAGCTCGATCCGAACCCTTTTCCATTTGATTGCTTATTGGATGCATGCCCATATGACAAAAGCTCTCACGTCTAAGAACTCATTGGCGACTCGGCTTCCGACAGGGAGTCTAGCACGGCATCGCGGAAGCACTTCATACCAGCGTCGAATGACTCTTTCGGCGCTGCAGCGAACGTCAACCGGAATCCGAGCTTTTCACTTTGAGTCGCGGGCTGCACAGCAAACCAGCTTCCTCTGCTCATCTGCAACCCTCGAGCCACTGCCAGAGCATGTATTGTAGCTTCGACATTGTTTGGCTGCCTTCTCAGATTCTCAGGAGCCTGAGACAAATCAACACCAACCCACACCATCATTCCTGATGTTGGTACGTTCCAATCGCAACATGAAGGCAGCCATCGCTCGCAAGCTTCGATCAGCGCATCACGAGAGTTGCGATACCCTGAAGAGAGCTTTCGGAGCCAGTCAATGAATCCGAGATGTCCCCAACTTTGATCGAGCAACTTGTACATCATGATCTGAGACGGTCCGCTCACAGCTGTTGTACAGAACTCTGTATGGTAGATGAATTGATTGATGAGCTGTTCACTGCCTGTGACCCATCCCGCTCGTAGACCTGCAGAGAGAATTTTGGAGGTCGCGTCTAACCGCAGAACTCGTCCGGAGTGGTCCAGGCTCAAATATGATTTGGGGAGTTTAGCCACATAATCTTCTGCAGTGGCTGGTGGTGCGGAGGTGTGATCACCTAGATTGAGAAAAAAGTAAGGGTCATCTTCGACGATGATCAAGTCATGCCTTTCAGCGACATCGTATATCGCTTGGCGTCTTTGCAGGCTCTGGGTGGCGCCGGTCGGATTTTGGCCACAAGGAATTATGTATAGCACAAAGGGTTTGCGGCCAAGTGTATGATCCCAATTCGATAGCTTTTTGTCCAAGACCTCAGGTAAAAGTCCCTCTTCGTCCATGTCGATGCCAAGAAGCTTGATGCCCATTGGCTTGACCATCTCGAGTGTACCCGGATAGGTGTACTCTTCCGTCAGCAGCCAATCGGCTCGTTCGCACAGCATACGCAAAATGATGTCGAGGGCACTGGTATTGCCACAGGACAGTGAAGTTGCCCAGTCTTCGTATTTTGGTTCATGAACCAGATCGACATGCTCAGTGATGAATCGTAGGAGTTGCGGCGAACCTGCAGAGTGCCCATAGTTGAGAGCATAGCCAAGATCCCAATCATCTTCGCCATCAAGACACGACATCGCATCGCTGTCGGCTCTTGATCCACTCCGAGCGTAGTCCTTCAGCGACATGGTCATGGAGCTCCATGGTATCGTGGACGCCACTGGTCGAGCGACCCCAAGGTTGCAAATTGTGGTGGCGGCTTTTGAGCTTGCAGACGCCTTGAGCGTGGACGCTCCACGGAGGCGTGACTCACTACTGAGTCTATGGGTCAAGTCCTTGGATCGAGGCTTGTTGTGTAATGATTCTGGCCTGTAGTCCTGGGAGAAAACCTTTGGGGCAATGCCAACGGGAAGTGCTTGGCGGTTTTGTTCGAAGACGGCAAGCTTTTCCGACAACATGATTGAAAGTGGTTTGTATTCAGAAGCTCACACAGTATGAGTGGGTGCAGGTCGAAGCAAAATGAGACCTGGTGCTTTGATATGCATCCTCGGAGTTTCCTTCGGAGTTGTCGGCGTGTTTCACATAAGTCTTCCCGTCATCGGCGTGCTGCCTTGATAGGCCCACTTTGAGCTACTCGCATGCCGGAGCGCTGTCGGCCGATCATGTCAGATATCAGATGTTCGACTGACCCGTTGACCTTCTTCTTATGTGATATCTTGGAACAAAGCAGGATGCTCAGCCAGATTCGCCCAGAAATCCGGCGGAAAATCAAAATTATCAATCCCAAATGTCGGCCACTGTTCAACTATGCTCACCTGTTCGTTAGGAGCTAGCGTACTCATCTCGTGCTGGGAACTCAGTAAACCCAGACTGTGCCGATTGAGCACGCTCTTGATCGTGGCGGTTGCATGTTGCAGCAATGCATAGTTGGGTTGATCAGGGCGAATGAGAACACCAGCTTCCATATGCGCCACCAGGACATTCATATCCTGGATGGCTTGTGGGATCGAGGGATTGTTTTGAGCAAAACTGTGGGCCCCACTCACTAGTGCGAGACATATCGCTCCCGCAGCAGGCAGGCCGTATGAAGCAATCTAAAAGTATTAGCCCACATACATTCATTCAGTCTTCCAACTCACCTTCCATATGAACCCTGTCCCAGAATTTGCGAGAGAGTCCTTGAGCATTGCAACTTCTGCTGCTATTTTCAGCATTGCACCTGACACCATGACAAGCTCGTGACTTGGTACAGAAGTTCTTGTCATAGATGGTGTGTGAAGAAGAAATCGAACGTGGAGCAGATTGAGCGCAGCACTTGCAACAAAGTCGCGTTGGATAGCAGTGCCTTCAAAGTCTTTCAAGTGGTTTTCTAGACGGTAACGCTCTGGTAAGGCGGTCATCAGAGCATCGCATTCCGTCAAGATCACGCTTTAAAAGTCAGCAACGTCCCAGTTCCCACAGATACGCCCTTGGGCATTTAGGCAGGCTTACTTTGATGCTTGAGTACGAGACATGTGATCATCGTCTCTGAGCAGATCCAGAACGCGCTCCTTCAAAAGAGCACTGATTGCTGATTGTCAGCAAAGATCAACGACGGACAAGACCCATTCGGCGTACCATGCTACAGTCCATCGGGTTTCGAGCGTGTAATCAAATTGGCCTGTTTGCGGGGCTGGGACCGCGTGGAACAACCCTTCAACATCACCGCGAGACATTTTCAGCGCACTTTGCGCACTATGCATCCTGTAAGGGCGGTCTAGGAAGACGGAAATATTCTTGTCAGCCGAGTATGATCGCGCAACCGTTTGACTTCGAAGACCAGCCAATGTCTGACTTGTCAGGGATGCAAGATCGACTCTGTCGTGGTGTCCAAGGGCATAGATCGTGCTGATGACATCCCCCAAACGTCTCCAAGAGTGATAACTTTGATCGCCATCGATCCTGTATACACTAGTCAGCGTGGGTGTCAAAAAGACGGAGCAGTGCACAATGGATTTGCTTCGTCCTGTATTGAGCATTGCAGCTCATTTCCTGACCGACGAGGAGAAAGAAGCAGAAATGTACAGCGAGTTGTGCTTACATGCTGTGCGCAATGAAATTCTCATATTGTAGCAATAGCTGCAAATCGTTCAGACAGTCCAACGACAGACAAATGTCCAGACACTGGTCTGAGCAGCGGAGGGCAGTCTTTTGCAAGTGCCTCTGCCCGTTGCGAGTGCTGTAGAGTGCCGGATGGTATGCAGTGTCCTCTACAGCTCGGCTGAGCCCAACCAAGAAGAGCCCGAGGGTGGCCCAGCCTGGATCGCCACGACAGAAAGTATCGCAAAATGAATTAATACTCATCGTCCCGTCAGCAGTGAGACGTTCGCGCGAGCTTCGGAAGAGCAAGCTGGCAAGTTCTACTCCAGTTTTGTCTCGGAACAGATCGCAAACGGCTTCAGTGCAAGGCGTGAGGAGCGGACCAGCGATGGGCAGAGTCACACCCCGAAGATTCCATTGGAAGATAAGCTGGGCGCATGCTTCGAGATCCAGTCGTTTCAGATCATCGAGGAATTTGGCATGCTGAGCTTTTTCTGAATCTTCGAGCTCTAACATTGCTTCTTGAAGCACCCCTTCCGGTAAAGTGCTGCCGCCGCTGGCCTTGACGGTATCGAAAATGGCTGCATGACTTGATCTGCCTTGGTATCCCGGATTGGGATATACATGCGGAGTGGAAGTGGATGTCGAGGGCGAGGCGCTCACAATCGTGACTGGCGGTGTGGTGTTTACTGCAATCGTTGCCGACGCACTTGGCCTGACATTCGCTAAGCAAGTGTATCAAGCGCGCCTCGTCCCAGCCCGTGAGAAATTCGATGAAGTGCCTACCTGATCAGTCGCTTGCGCTTGAAAGGCCGATCACGATAGCCGCATTTGTCCGATTCATCGTTCTTGCTGCATCGACCACACACTGGCCTTGCGTGGTCGCAGGACACCTTGGACGCCCTGCACGGGTCACAAGCAGCAAGACGCGTAGGCATTGCGACCGCTTCTGTGTGGTGTGCAGTGTTCACGCAGTTGACGCGGACGGCGTGTCGGAGTAAAGAGAAAGAAAGATCTCACGGCGTGAAGTCGGAGCTTCATTGGTTGCCAAGACATGGGTAAAGCCGTCCACAGCCGTTCGGCGCGCCGGACTGCGGAGGGCATCGTCCGGCCTCCACGCCTCCAGCCACTAATCAATAATTCAACCCCGAATCCATTAGGAGGTCGACATGCGGGGTCATCCCATTCGAAGGTGGCGGTCTGATGCCGACTGAGTAGGCGAGCACGACAGGCGAACTCTTCCAGCATTGAGGCAATTGAACACGTACAGTAGTCGGCAGATGCATGGGCAGATAGGGTGACTCAGCAATCAGCATTTTGTTCCCACAATAAATAATTGACTGGGAGGCCAAGTCCTCTGCAGCGTCCCGCCTGGTGCTCATCTACGCCGATCACACTCCGACCTCTATTGATGAGCTTAGCTTAGCTGCTGCTCATCACAAAGACATTGCCTTCCAGGACTCTCAGGATTCTGGAGTGATAGTTGCCAGCCATGACGACCAATAACATCAAGCTCGCCGAGTACATATTTGCCCGGCTAAAGCAGCTGGGAATCGAGACGGTGCATGGGGTGCCTGGGTATGGACAGAAAATGAGGAAACTCAAAGCCTGTTGCTGACAGAGTATCTCAGAGACTACAACTTGGAATTGCTGGACTACGTGGAACCATCAGGACTGCATTGGACCGGAAGCTGTAATGAACTGAATGGTGGTTATGCCGCAGATGGCTATGCCAGAATCAAAGGCGTGGGAGCTCTCATCACGACATTTGGGGTAGGAGAGCTCAGTGCGAGTAAGCCAAGGCATTTGCAGAGACGTCGTCACAGCTTCACTGACCTTCTGTAATAGTCAATGCTATTGCCGGAGCCTTTGCTGAACTGGCACCGGTCGTGCACATCGTCGGGACACCTACTAGAGCACAGCACGAGTCCCGGAGCCTAATCCATCACACCTTGAATGATGGAGAATACGGCCGCTTCGCTGATATGTACAAACATGTCACAGTCGCTCAAGCTAATTTGTCAGACCCGAGGACAGCTACGAGTCTGTTCGACGCCACGCTGTCACAGTGTCTACTACACCACCGCCCGGTATACATCCAGATCCCCCTAGACATGGTGCATGCTGTTGTCAGTAGTGCACCTCTGGCAACTCCGATCGAGGCTCCTCTGGCCATCTTTTCCGGCAGCGAGGTTCCAGCTGTCGATCTCCTCAAAGAGCGCATAAGCACAGCTGTGAAGCCGGTCATTCTTGTCGACGGCGAAAGCTTGGCTTATGGAATTCTGGAAGAACTTCACCAACTAATTGAGACAACCGGCTGGCCGACTTGGACCTCAAATTTCGGTAAAGGCTGCGTGGATGAGACTCTACCCAACACAAGAGGTGTCTGGAAAGGCAACTGGTCGAGGAAAGAAGACCAGGAGTACGTAAGATCTGCCGATCTCGTCCTATGCTTCGGTCCTCATTTCAGTGGAACAAACTCATATTTCTACACTGGTATTCCGCCATCGAAGACGACAATTTACTTCAAATCCTCATCCATGACAGTCGAAGATAAGATTTTCAGAGACTTGCCTGTGAAGCAATTCCTCTCATTGCTTTTAAAACAAGTCGATACCACAAATCTGTCTTCACGATCTACGAACCCAGCGCCCCAAGAAATCAAAACACCTGCCAAATTAGCAGACGACACGAAGTTAGACCAGCACAATCTATATTCGGAGATGCAACCCTATCTACGCACAGGCGATATCATACTCGGCGAGACTGGTACAGCAGGTTATGGTGTACGAGAGCTGAGATTGCCCAAAGCCGCCCGATTGTTCAAGCCCACAACATGGCTCTCAATAGGATACATGCTGCCAGCGACCCAAGGAGCAGCTCTTGCGCAGCGTGAACTCGATCAAGCTGGGAAATGGCAGAGACACAACGACAAACTACCGCGCACGACTCTACTCATTGGTGACGGCAGCTTTCAGATGACAGCACAGGAGTTAAGTACGATCATCAAGGAAAAGCTCAACGTCACCATCATCCTACTCAACAACGATGGGTACACAATTGAGAGGTGCATTCATGGCAAAGACCAAGGCTATAACGATGTTGCGCGATGGAGGTATCTGAATGCTCCGGCTTTCTTCGGCGTTGCGGCAGCAGAAGGAAGTGCGGAGGGAGAATATGTCGCCCACACGACTGTTGCGAAAACGGTAGGAGAGTGGCGGAAAGCTCTTGATGATGCAGACAAGCGTACGACTGCGGGTCTGACGATGATTGAGGTGATTTTGGATCGGGAAGACGCCATGTCGCCATTGTCTGATTTGCTTGCAAAGCAGCTGTAGACAGCATTGGATAGATCATACAGCGGATCTACACATACCAGCCCCGAGCAAGAGGCGGCTCGACAGCTTGCTTCCCATCAGCGATCATACACGAGATATTTCTCTTGCCTTGAGATTCAAGCCTCTGGTGCCACAAATCTGGCGTGTCAGCTATGACCCAGTTGAATCCTTGTTGCAGAATCCAATTGAAATCACTGCGGTAATCGTGTCCATCGCTGGAAGTATTCCCGACACGACTGTCGAGGAGGATTGGCGCTCGATTGTCTTGGAAACCGTACGTTGATCCATTTACACGCTCGTCAGCTGGCAGAGAATAGTTTGCAGTGTCGTAGAAGCTTGTCGAAATGGGTTCGACCAAGTCGCCGATTGCGAAGAAGATTCCTGCAGTGTTGAAAGCGGCACCGTCTTGTTGGGACTGCACAAAATTCAATTCTGCTTGCAGAGGGCCATCGGTGGAGCGCAATTCGATTTCGGAGCTGATGGTGTAGTTTGTCCTTTGGAACGCTCCCAGCGAAGCCATTGTATCCCATTTCCACGTATCAGTTGGCTGGTAGACGGGTAGCAATGCGAGGGAGATGTTATTTGCAAAGGCATCTTGGACCCAAGCTTCTGCTTCAAATTCTTGGGGAGTCTTCCACCAAGTTGCTTGAGTTTTATAGATGCACCACTCGTTGGCTGGGACGCCTGCAGCATTTGTCATTGACTTGAGCGCGTAGTATGCAGGTGCCACGGCGGCGCGGTCTTTGAAGTCGAGCTGTAAGACTACATTGGCTCCTGTGTCGTGGATACTTTGTATCATTTGTGGGAGTGTAGTCACAGTGTCGATGTGTACTCGGCCACCTTCATCGCGAAGGTGCAGATTTTCCATGAAGCCGGTATAATTGGATTTGCTGACTTCAGGATTGTAGCCTTGTCCGGGGAAGGGGTTGTAGGCTGCCTGGCCGGTGTATTCGCCGACGTCAGTCTCTCGACCAATGCCTTCGTCATGGATCATAACTACATGGCCATCTGCGGACATCCATAGATCGGTTTCTATGCATTCAATGCCAGCTTGCGTTGCTCGAAAGTAAGCATCGCGGGAGTTCTCCGTTGTGCCGTTCCAGCTGGAAACCTGATTACCTTTCTGCTTTACTAGAAAGTAGACTTGGCTCACCGTTGGCCTCGATGCGCGCAGAGAATGACTAGATCATCGCGAGGCTGGCGAAAAGCTTCAATGATTTTGTGTACATCGTAGGGTTGACGTGCAGCCAACGATTTTTGCGCCAAATAGACGATAGATAAGGCTACCAAACGTGTGAATGAAGTCATGGTTGGGATTTTGTCGTCCTCAGAGTTAGTGGTTGCGTCCAACAGGCCGTTCACCTGCCACAATATATATTCGATGCCCAGTGGATCAACATAAGTCGTTTCCTCATCCGCGGCAGGTACAGTAACAAGCAATAATTCAGTCCACTGGCGCATCGAGCATTTAGGCTGTGTAACGTCGATACGAGCATGATGCTTCCCACGACTCGCCACGTGCTCGGGTGACAGGTGAGGGGCCGCCAATGGCCAGTTGCGACGACTGAACAGTGCTCGCAGGGTCGTTTGGGCATGCAGGGAATGGCGATTGGAAGGCGAAATGGCGGCAGGGTTTTTCAGATTGCCAACTGTGTTAGAGAGGCTCTGACAGCAGACGACAGGCTGCGCCAATTGCAGCCCGCTCGACAGTGATGCATGTTGAGCCTGTTTTCAGTAGTAACGACGAGGAGAGAAATTGGCAAAGCCGGCAACATTCCGAGGCGATTGGCGCGATAGGACAGATACAGGAAGATGGACTGAGCAGACCGTTGATGAAGTGCGAACGAGGGCAGAAACCAGCTCGTGACCCAGTCTTGGCGTCGGTGATCGGAGATTCGCTTGTGAGACACATGCAGACGACACGTCGAGCACGCGTCTTCTTCGCAACTACATCGACCATCCGACATCTGCCATCAAAACAAGTACAGTGCTATTCAAGATGCCACCTCAAGTATTCGGACGACCATCTCCGCGGCCCCATCCAAGCCTATCGAGTGTGCCGATCGGGACCTGGGTGCCATCAGGCGACTGCTCCCCATCTGGCGCCGATTGTGGTTTGCTTCTGGAAGACCATGTCAGCGCGGGTCTGTTCCACTGCTGGAGAAGGGGCACATACATCTCGCTCGCCTCGCCGGAAGCTGGAGCATCCATCTCCTTCGCGGCCTCGTGTCCGGGTAGTTCATATATTTCATTCGACCCCAGCATTTGAGCCGAATCTCCTCCAAAGAGCTCTGGTCGCTCCGACACGAACACATTGTCCTTCTCTTTATACGGCGACGGCATTTCATGTCGATATTCCGCCATCAGCTCTGCTTCGAGCTTGTTAGGGCGAGTGTGACCTGGCAGCTCTGCATCGCCTTCGTATTCGCCAATTGGGTCCTTCTTGTCAGGCGGATACATGTCCACTGCAGCTTCGGTTCTAGCCCGAGCCTCAGCGTCGGCAGTTTCGTCCCTCGCACGCTGCTCTCGGCGCTTCTTGCGTCGGAAAAACCAGATCCCGCCGCAGATCGCGGCTATCAGCAGGACGGCGCCGACTGCAATGCCGGCTATTGCACCTATAGAGATCTTGCTCGAATTGCTGCTGTTTGTCACAGGCTCAATGGTGACGATGTCGTTCGACACACCCGGTCGATGCAAGGATTGACCAAGTGTAAAATTCTGGCGTTCCCAGTCGACCACAAGATATGCTTCTTGCAAGAACGTGCGGCCAAGCACAAGTTGGCTCTCGTTTGCAGCTCTTCGGATCGGGAAGTACGTCGTGTCCTCGGTGGACCATGGCTGACCGATCTGCTGGTCAAATGCTGCATACGGTAAGACGATGTTTGTCGTCGTGTTCGGCGATCCCGCTGCTGCTAATGTGAAAGTAAACTCCGGGGCTTGACTAAGAAGACTTTGATGTGCAGTGGAATTTACAAAGTACAGTTCGGTGCTGTTGTCGTACTGAAGACCTAATGCAGCAGAAAGCGTATCACAAATCGATCCTGGGAGCCAGATCTGCGCAACGGTCGAGTCTATTGACATATTTAGGCCGCCAGATTCGACAGGAGGTGAGATTGTCCCTTGCAACGTGTTCGAGATGACCAAATTCTTCAGTCGAGCAGTCAAGGACCTGGAACCAGCGAACGCGAGTGGGAAGTTAAGATTGCTAGGCTCGAATGCGGCGCGATCGTATCCACCCATGATGATACTTCCAGGCGCATTTCCTGCCACGAATTAGCTTGCTTGTCCGGAGCACGTCCGACACCTCTGAACTCACGATAAGCCGCGCCAGCGCTGAATCCATACGAGACGCTAGCAGATAGGTTCTGCTGCTTTGCTGAGCTCAACACCGTTGCAGCAGTGTCTGGCAAATTCGAAAATCTCGCTGGTTGCGCACCGAGCCCAATGATTCCGAGCCAAAAGTTGTAGCTGGATATGCCGCCGACGATCTGGTTGCTCAGTGAGGCGGCATTGAGAGCACCCAGCGAGACATTCTCCAACCCATACAGTGCAGCATCGCCAGAATTCGGGAAGAGAGAGTCGTCTGCGCTGAGGTCGTATATGCCGATTTGTTGCCAACTGCTGGATTCGTTGGTCTGGAACCCTCTGCTCTGCGCCCCGTCCACAGACTCTATGCCTCTCGAAGTTGCGCAGTTCGGTATCGAAGAGTCGCATCCCTCTGGCACAGGTACCCAGATCTCGCCATCGGATGTCGCGGGCAGGATGTTGAATCTCTGCGCAGGTGTGCCAACGTCGACTTGGTAAACAGACCACTTGCCATCGTTCCCGCCCCAGCCTGATGACTGTATTATCAATGGCGATTCTGAACTCGACATTTTGTTGCAGAGCCCACCACGAATCAGGTGGGATCCTCAGATTACCTCGTCGACAGGGCTGAGCAACCAAGGTATCAAGGCGAGTTGCTTCGTGGAGTCACGATGGCCTCGGGAGGCGTCAAGGTGCTCGCTCTACGTGCATGGATGTTGTTCCACGCTTCGGAGCCGACCTGGAAAGTCAGGTCGGTCTGGCTCGCCTGATCACAACAGGTACAGCCCATCTTGGTCAGTAAGCTGCCGCCACACGCTGTGCTGCGATCCAATGAGTCTAACGACCAACCCCATCTATGGTACAAACTTTCGTGCGTACTCAGCACGCTGGTCCGTGGTTCAGAAGTCGTCAAGCGCCACACCTTCACATCATTGGTTTTGCTGAGACACTACGCCGAAAACAGTTGCAAAAATGCTTGGCGCTCCGCTGACTGGGCGGAGTCCTGCATGGCTTTGAAGCTTCCAGACCGCTGTCAGGGCTTTTCTCTGGAGTGCCCGCCTGCGTCGCTGGTGAAATCGACCATGTGCATCGTCGACGAAGGTTTCGCGTTCGCGTTCGCGTTTGTGCTCTTGCCCAATCGACATGACAGGTCTCAAACGAGCATGGCTGGACCGACGTCCCTCTGCGCCGCCCCTGCAAGCTGGCAACGCCGGGGCCAAGAGTCTGAGTCGAGTCTGGCGTTGCGACATCACAGCTCACAGCCCAGTGCTGCTGCTTTCGGGAAGTGTATGTAGCTTTTCTGGTAGGAAGAGTCCCTCGCCAGGTCTTGGAACGAATCTTGGAATGACACAAAAGGCAGAGGATCTCGCCCGCGGCTGGCTGTATTTTGCTCGACACCTCTTCTTCTCTGACCATTAGCCCCATAGTGAAGTAAACGGAAATCATCGCTTGCCAATTCACTGCTGTCATCTTCACAGCGCTCGGATAAAGCTACTATGTCTCTACCAGACTGTTCCAGCTTCGAGAATCCCTGCCAGACATGCTTTTTGGGCGCATCGACAGAAATCCTGACCTACCCCTATAATATCACGCAGACTGTCGATGTCACAACCTTTACATACGTGACGGGACAGGCAGATGGAAGCAATAGCACTCGCTTCGAAATCATAACAGCAGACTTCGAAACCGGTTCCGGCGCGCAGACAGTTCTTGAAGAGAATGCGACATCGACGTGGGTGCCGGTGGATGGTGTTACCTTGTAAGCATATCAATAAAGTCATGATCAGAGACCACTGGTTGACATCCCCAAGGACATTCCCAACGACCTATGCGTCCTTCGTCAGCTTCTCTGGCACTGCAGCCCCCAACGCATCTCCCTCGGCGTGTGCATCTTCGACCACTTTCGACGAGATCACCTTCCCAGCTACAACGGCGCCAGCATCGTTCATCTATGCTCCGGCCGTGGGCACTGACGCGTTTACCGAACTTACCGAAGGTCAATTGCCAACAGCAGTGCTCGCTTATCTCGGCGAGCTTGACGCCGTGGTGAGCCAGCTCGGTGGCAACGAACCGTCAGTGTGCGCTCCTACAACACCAATCACCCTCACCTCGGCCGTGTCTTGCCTGACTACATCGACGATATCGATCTGTGTCCCGGTCACTAGTGATGGCACGGTCACCTCCAGCTGCTCGCCATCGGTTACCTCTTTCCCCACCGAGCTTCCACCAACAGAAGTGACCACAAATGAGCCCCCACCAAATATCAAGACCGGTGCGGCTGCACTGAGAGGCAATAATGGGCCTAGAGACTTTATTCCTTACTCACCACCGGGAGGAGGAAGTCCCAACCCAACGCCAGATCCCCAGCTGCCGGAGAATCCTACTCCAAATACCGGTGGCAACAATAATGGCGGTAACAATAATGGCGGTAACAATAATGGTGGGGGTACCAATAATGGCGGCAACAACAGTGGTGGCGGCAACACCGGTGGTAACAATGGCGGGACCAATAACGGCGGAACGAACAGCGGCGGCGACACCCCCAGTGGTAACAACAGCCCGGCCCAGCCAGAGACACCAGGCCAACCCTCGGCACCGACTGACGGAACTTCAGGAAGCGGTGGAGAATCTGGTCAGGGAGGTCAAGAGAACCCAGCGACTGGTGGCCAGTCCGCGAATCCACAAGATGGTACGTCACAGTCAGGACAGAATCCTGTGTCCGCGCCAGAAGACGACACTCCATCGTCAGCAGACTCGGCATCTGCACCTCAAGATGGCTCGTCTGGTTCGTCTTCGTCTTCGTCTTCGTCGTCTCCAGCAGATCCTGGTTCAGGATCAGAAGATTCCACTCCACAATTGGGACAGGACGGCTCATCAGATGCCGTTCCGGCTCCAGAAGATGGATCCACATCGTCAGAAAGTGAGCAGACTCCTTCGAGTGATGACAGCAGCGGTAACGACACGACATCACCATCTTCGTCAACCAGTGATGACAGCAGCAGCGGCGACAACCAATCTGGTTCTTCGTCCAGCGCAGCTGCTGCTGATGAAGATGATTCTACCGATTCCTCTTCGCCATCGTCTCCGTCCGCCTCGAGTGATGATAACCCTTCAGATCCCGAACTAACCGGTGCCCCTTCTTCAGGTTCTACCCCTTCTTCCGACGATGATACTTCTGGCAGCGGCACTACAGGCGCAGGTGACTATATCATGAGCGGACTCAATCCTGGCCCGAGCAGGACTCTGACATCGGTAGGATCTGCAGGTACTTCGGTCTCGGTCGAGCCATATACTGGTTCTGCAATTGGACGTGCGAGCGCATCGTTGATGGCTTGCGTGTTGGGCTTTGTCGGCATGGGATTTACGTTTGCTGGGCTTTAGAATGATTGTATTACTGTATGAGACTATGATGACGAGTATGAAACGATCGACGTACAGAGCAGAGACCGCATGCCAGAGCGTGGTTGTCATCTTATCTCGGAACCCGAACTTCTTCACAAGCCTAATTTGCGGCTTTCTCTCGTGGTGCTTATACCGTAAGCACTTATGAGTAATCGGGCATGGTATATGGATAGTAGGCCCAGACTGGGGGTAGTAACGAAGCTTATTTCTTCTATAGCTACTTTAATTTCCTGGTTGCTGGGGATGCACACAGTAATGATTCTTTTACTGTCATTCTCTCTATTTTTACTGCTGCCGAATTCTACACATTTGGCCTGCTCGAGTTCGCCTAGGCCGCTGGATGCTCTTCTATCAAGAGAATCTTTGTGGCAGCAGCGAGTGAGGGTGCAACTACGCGTAGAAGGGAGTCGTACCACCTTGAAACGCTTATGGTGAGTGCCTAGACTTTTATAGTTAGCCAGGTCTATTACCGTCTAGAGCTTACCCGGTGGTCGACACCCGCCTGGTTGTACAAGGATCACAATTCCACCTCCTCGAGCACATCCTCCTAAGGCTACTATACGACCACTACGACGCGCCATTCCGACACCCGCTATACAGCCTTAGCATCGGTTGAACTAGAATTGGAAGCTACTGGCAACTACCGTGGCGGGCCAGTCGGCAGGTTTTGATATATAAATCAAGAGTCTTTGCCAACGCACTTTCGCAGAACAGTCTCAAAAGCATTCCCTCTTCATCCACGCTCGTTTCAAACTTACCAGGATTCGTCCACTTCCACGTTCTTTTACTACAATTCGGTCATTATCATTCACAATGAAGTCTCCAGTTTTCGCCATCGCCGCTCTGGCGACTCTTACCGCCGCTATGGAAGGCTCCATGTTTGTGGCGGTCCACAAGCGTGACGTTGGATTTTCTCCAATGAACTTGGGAATGCGACTGCGTCGCGATGTAAGAAGTCTCGCGCTTGAACTCTCTTTCGGAAAGTCGCTGACAGCTTCGCAAAGGATGGCATTTCTTGCGTCGACCAAAACTTTTGCGACACTCAGACCTCCTGCGGAGTTGGCGAGCAGTCGATCTGCGACCCAAAGTCGAAAAAATGCACTTGCAAGGTATGTGACAGGTATGGTCGTTGCCAAACGGTTAGATTGCTCTAACAATGTTCCTGTAGATTACCAATGGAGGTGCAGCCTGCGACGCCACCGGCGGTGATGGTTCAAGCTGGTACACGGACAGCAAGGGCAACGTATGCTGTGAGTTCCCATGCGATCCAAAGGACGGTGACCCGAAGTGCAAGGATGCGAACACTGCCAACCAGGAGAAGGCGGACTGCGCTTAGTTGTGCTGTTGTCACGGCACATTATAAGAAGGCTGGCCACGTTGATCAGTGCTTCCTGTATATTATGTTCAAAAGCTCCTAGAAGCCGGCATCAAACCTGCCCCAGAGATTTGCGTTTTTGGACTTACAGACCTCAGTCTGCAATTTGACCAGTGTCGAAATGTGTTCCACACCATCAAGGATAGCCACGACCGAGTGCACACCACTATCGAGTGGACCTTTGCTTGTGTAAGCAGGTATCTCAACATCGTGATACAATGATTGCACATTTCGAAAACGCCTGTGTGGTCAGCGTCCTTGTATCCGCCGTGTGTGTCAAGCGCGAAGAGGCACTAGCGACACCGAGAGTCCGCATGTGCTGTGATTATGAATGTCAATAGTTGGATGCTCTGCAGGCGGATAGAAGCTGCCCGGACACAGTACCAGAAAAAAAAAGCAGTTCAGCTCCTTGCCGGTATCATGGATCTTGCTGGAAGAACGGAGCTGAGAGACCATTGCCTCCTCTTGGGCCATGTCGACTTCGAGGCCGCGCTACTCACATCAGGAAATATCCCAGTGACAGATGAGGGGGATAGTAAGGTCTTCGGGCCTTGCGCATGAGATTTCTGTGCCACAACGCAGACCGCATTCTGGCACTGCTCGGGTCTTGACTCCACGAGGCGATTTGGGAGGCGCTGAGAAGTGGTACCACGTAAAACCTCCTGAATGCAGATGCTCTCGACGATCCACGACTTCCGCCAATATCGAGGTAGCTCCCGCATCGTGACGGTGAAGATGTGGAGGCTGGCACCTTCCCTTCGTGGATTTCACGACTGAACATCTCCGGGAGTCCTCAGATCGATAATATGACGGTTCCTGCAGAGTCGTATACTTGATGCCAGGGAGCTGGTCGAGGTTGATCCTGCCGAACCAAACGAAATTCCAGTCAAAGGCAGAAAAGTTGGTACAATTAATCAAGTATCTCAAATCTGGACTTGTGAAGTTTTCGATGATTCAGCGAAAGCTTGTGTCCCACTTGCTCGCAGCACAAGACTTGTCGACCGAAAAGGCTACCATAGCTGAGCAGTTGGCGCGAACGCTTATTGCAGATACCTGTACAAGTAGCGATCGGAGCTCAGAGGCGGACTTGGTGAGAGCTCCTGGAATAGCGAGTCACGATGGCGAGCCTGTGCCGCGAGACAGGGTGAACATGCACATGCTGATGATTTACTGGCAAAGGAGAAATCAGCAACTAGCTGCGCAGATCAGCAAAAAGATCTGCCTGGGGTCAAAAGGATGCCGCGGAGATGATGTTGCTGTAGCCATATATGCGGACCCGGCACACCGGGTGGTGTGCATTGCATGCTTCGGCCCGTGAGATCTGGGCTCAAGCTTCTCGGTGGCTGTCTTGTAGACGGGAGGATTCTCCAGTATGATGAGTATGGCGATGATCGTGCAGTAGGGAGAAAATTGACGTCTCCGGACTGCTGTGGTCACGCCGGGCAAGCACCCCCGGGACTACGGTGGTCTTGCTCCTGCCACTAACGCGCCCATACCGCGGTACACTTCCTGCGGCAATATGCGATGAGGTGGTGTAATCTTGCCTAATGCATCGACGGCAGCGGCTGCAAATCGTGGTATACCAGCTGTACAACTAGTCAGCCCGGCCGTGGAAGCGCCGATGGAGGGAAAGAGCTGAGTGCCGAGGCGCGGAGAAGCATCAATTGTCAAGATGTGTCGATGTTGCCACTTGCAGACTGATGGAAGAAGATGTAGCGTCCCAATTTGCCGTTGCACGCAGGTGGCGGCGTCATAAGTCGTCGGATCAAAGTTTCTTCGCCTGTGGAGAGCAGCAAGTCTTCTATCAATGATCGTGCTCGGACACAAGACTCTGCCAAGGCGGTGGTCTTGGCTGATTCGGCGACACGAGATGGCGGACACGGCCACGTGCGAAGTGGTGCTTGCTGCTGTTTTAACAGCTTCATCCCGCCCTGGCCGTTTCTCATTCTGCTCTCCGGGAGGCCTCGACAACAACATCGACGCCTGTGCAGCGACATCACCACCGTTGATTTCCAACCCGCCAGCTCGTGCGCCAAAATTCTCGGTCCCGTTCACGTGGGATTGAGACTTTTGGCTAGGCTTGACGGACTTGCACGCGACCAGGGCACCTCAGCCACGCTGCAGCGCAAGACACTCCAGCGGAGCCGTCATATTTACAGAGAGAGCCACGTCTGCTTCCGCCCTCTGTCCGCCCGCAGCGAAGCATACCACACACGAGCTGTTCCGCAGACCATGGTGGTCGCCGTGGCGAAGACTCCGGTCGAGGTAACTGCCTTTTTCATGCACGTCATGCACCTCCGACAGCAACTGACTCGGGAAGCAGAAGGCCGAAGAACTCGCACGGGTGCGCAGCAATCAGAGGAGGAGTCGAGCTCGTGAGTACTCTCACAAATGGTCGGAGGACGCGCACTGACCGCAAGCATTTAGGGCGCAAGGAATACGTCCAGGAACTGGAGGAGCGAGTCCGCTGTTGCGAAAGACGAGGCGTACAAGCCACGGCCGAAGTCCAAGCTGCAGCGAAAAAGATTGCCGCCGAGAATGCGTATTTGCGCCAGCTTCTGCAAAAGAATGGCATCTGGGATCCAGTTTTGACGAAGCCGGGATTCGTGGAATTGCTGCCTGTTGACACACAGCATCGCGAGCGGATGAACCCAGCAGTAGCTGTTCCCAAGATGACTGGCCACCTTCAGACCATGAGCCCTCAGCCTTCACCTGTCGCAGATCCTGGCCTGGTGGGCAACTACGAAGGGATCATGTCTACGCCTCCCGCGTCTCTTCCAGATGACACGTGCGGATCGCAGCAGACGGATTTCGGAACCAGAGCAATGGAAAATTGGTCCATGGCGCCAGATGCACCGGCTATCGAGGCTACAGATTTCCAGCTTCCGCTCCCTTCACAGCAAACGTATAACGATGCCGGAGTGGCTACCACCGTCACAAACATGCCCGCCACCTCAGTCGCCAGCTTCGATGCAGCGTACGGAGCGCCGACGTATGGCGACCCCACCTTCGCAGGCATGCTAGCAACTGCATATCAAAGCGATTCGCCGGCCACCATCTGGCCGACCGGGACCACCGGTGCCCACGAAGCAACAGGCATCCGCGCCATGAACCGCTTGATGCCGCAAGGAAATGGCTCCTCGGCACCGACAACAACCGCGGAAGCAGCAGCGGCCACGATGCCATTGCCACCATTCATTTCATCAGTCAATCAAATGTTTGCAGCAATGCATCATCACAATCGGACGGATCACGATCCGCCACCTCTCAGCATCAGTCATGTCCAATGACAATGGTGCAAGCGCCAAAATGTCCTTGGCGTGGAGCAAGATCATAGGGCGGCTGTCGTTTCTCTTTTCTGCATCGTCTTTGCGGTGATGTGGAGGGGACGAGAGCAGGGCGAGGCTCCCACCATTAGCGTGGAGCAAGATAGTAGGGCGCCTGTTGTGCAGCGTCTGCTTTGGATCCGGGTTGTTTCGGTGACCTGGGCTGGAGTAGAGGCTGAACAAGAGGAGGGCGAGGCTACCACATTTGATAGCAACAACTACACAAATAACATCATGGACTGTCATGGTCGTGATGAGTACATACTCATGGGAATACATCAGATTTTTATATTCAGCACTTTACTTGACATCTTCCAGCTACTGCACTTCACCTCAGGCTCATTAATAAATGGCGAGGCCAGCAGTGCACGGACGACATGAGAATGGAGAAAGGGAGCCCAGATCTGTTGCTTCTCTGTCACGCCATGGGCGCACCGGACCATCAGCATGTAGTCGTGTAGAAGACGAACCTGCTAGTGTCAGTATGATGTGTTTCATTCTCCACGAATTTGATGGTTGGTAGATCTGCTGTCACCGAGGTCGTACAATCTGGAGGGCATTGCCGAAATGCACGACGCTGGCGTGCTGGCGGTGTCCAGAGATCGGACAGAAGGCCGATGTGCAGTCCTGCCCATGGGCAGATGTGTAGCTAAGGCCACGACTGGTGCCGTTTCGACGCAGGGTCTACTCAGCATTTGACAGCTGCAGACCTTCACATGCGCTGGAGGCCGGGCGGTCGTAGCCCAGGGAGACATTTGTCGGGATACATCTCGTGATGGGTGGGCTGACCGGGCATTCGACCTCTCGCGTTGGCGCCACGCAGGAAGCACGGGAGCGTTTCTTATTTGAGCTCGCGGCCATAGGCTGCCTCGTGAGTGTTGGGCACATCCGCCTCTGCGCCTCACGGATGTCGTTGCAGTCTTCGTAGCAACAATATCATCGACGTTCCTGGAGAAATGATGTTGACGGCGGGAGTCATCCAGCCTCTGCGACAACTCTAGACCCACGCTCGCACCTGTCCCTGCGACGTCACACCAATCGGGAAGCGATCCGGCGAAACCCAATGAGCACATCGCCCACCCACGAGCAGTGCAGCAGCAGCAGCAGCGCAGTCACGAGGGACACGGAAGATCTGCTCGACTACCTCAACTTTCTCGACGACTTCCCTCTGTACCCGCAACAGCCCGTCTTTGGCAACGTTGTGTCTTCCAGCTTCCCTTCCTACAACGCCGCTGCATTCCTCGAACCGACCCCGCGAATAGCCGTTGCTGCACCACACCCACCAGCTTGCCCGTTTCCTCCACCGCCAACACCGCCGACAACAGCATACAGCACATCATTGGAGGTCCTCGGCCCGCACTCCGCCTACACAGCTCCAGCATACCCGACAAAGGAAGGCGCGAGCCAGCTCTCGACAAAGAGAAAGCGCGCCCTGCAGGCTCAGGACGCGCAACCCTCTCCTCCCGCCAAACGCCCTTTCCCGAGCAGCAGCAGCAGCAGCAGCAGCAACAGCACGATGGCATTGAACCCGCACAAGCAAAACAAGGTCGACGTGAGCGTACGTCTTCGTCCAATCTCCTTACCAGTCCAGCCGAACCTCGTCCCGGATGTACTGATACCGCTATGCGAATCACTGACCCCGTTCTGGCAGTCTCTCACCGAGGAGGAGCAGAAACTCTTCCGTCTCTATGGCAAACTCCCCAACAAAAAGGATCTGTTCAGCAAGAAGCTGCAGGAGCGAAAGTACTTTGACTCGGGCGACTATGCCATGAGCAAGGCCGGCAAGAGCGATGGCGCGGGTTTGGGCGGAGGTCTAGGACGGGAGCATCCGACGTGAGTCTTCCGCAGTCCAAGAGCTCCCGGAATGGTGCGCACAAGAAGGCGAGAGTAGGCAGACGCTGACGGAATGGACATGCAGACCGGAGAACATTCCACACCTCTCTCAACAGCAATCCGCAGGCACACCCACCAGCGAGAGCGGACCTCGAGCTTCCATCTCTGGCGGTCCTACGTTGCATCCCACCACCTCATCTGGCAATGGACAAATGGCAGGCTCGCCAGTAAAGGAAGCCAGCCACCTCCACCGCGGATCCAGTGTCGATGAAGAGGATGTGCCAGAAGAGGTCAAGGCTGCGAAGGGAACAGAGAACAGCGAGTCGTCTGCGATTCCAATACGGCAATAGAAGTGTTGCCAGAATGGGAGTGACAAAGAGCGGAGCGCTACGATTCACACTTTTGTTCTTGGTAGTCGCGCGAAATTGAGTCGCATGTACCTGTATGACGTGGTTGATCACGAGACGGCAGAGACTGCATTTCAGGGGCCTGGGAGATGTTCGCACAAGAACCATGAGATAACGGATGGGGGATATGCTCAATGAGGAGTCCGGCGACTTTGTCATCGATTGACTGGGCTGTGCTGAGCCGAATTGTTCGGGAGAGAAACTATACTGACGGCGCAAGAGAGAGGGAATAGCGCACGCACAGTTCATGTCCTGTACGAACAAATGTTTTAACGAGATCAATGAATCGCCTTTTTCCCTCTTCGCATGCTACCACTGTCTAATCGACACTGGCTGGGAATGGATATGAGACGAAGAGAAAGAGGTATTGATAAGTCATCACAAGTCTTCGATCGGCTATCATACATAAAGATCCAATCTGAGACTCTATGCCTCATTTGCAGTCATTTGCAGTCATTATCACGTTAAAATGTCAATTCTTATCCGGCAGGCCCCTCTCGAGCCACTTTCACTCCATCGCAGCCCCTCCGTTCACGTTTCCACTCTCAATACTCGATTCTCAACGAGTCCTCGGCCCCCTTCATTCACCCTCGCCCCGACGCTCAATCTGCCTTTCTTCCTCCACTAGGAGCAAGAGGCTCAACGTACCCGCCCAGACCCACTGTCATGGTCGAAGCGTTGTTTCGAAGCACTTGCTGGACTTTCTTCCTAGCAAGACTGGCGTTGGAAGCGAGTGAGGAGATGGATGCCGGCTTGCTGTAGGTGCTGGCGGCTGAAGAAGTAGCCGCATTGGGAAATTTTGGGCTTGGGAATTCTGGGGGAGTTTCTGGGGCAGCCAATATCTTCGCGACTCGAGGACGGAGCGGTGAGGGTGTCGGTGTTGGAGGGAGATGACATTGCGAGGTATTGTGGAAAGAGGTGGAGAATGCTGGTGCTGTTGGCGGCGATAGCTGGGACTTGTCGTTGATGAAGAGATGTCGGAACTTCTCCATCTTTCGTTTTGGCGTCTGCTCCTCGTGGGTTGGTCTCCGCGCCTTCCTTTCCTCGTCCCTCGCTTCGTCCATTCGTTCGAAAATCTCGCGTATTGTCCATGCTTTGAGGACGAAACGTTCTGTGATGTGGCCTGCGTCCGCAGCTTTGGGTAGTCGGCTGTCGTCTTCGTACGCGTTATCCATCTCCCAGACTGTGATGTGAATTTCGATTGGTGGAGGTTGGCATAGATACATTTTCCAGATACTTGAGTTGGGTCCCGGAAAGAGGGTGGAATTGTTCAGTGAGCATATCTCGTACCGCGACAGTTCGCGGAGTTGCCACTCGATGTAGGGGGCGGAGACATTTTCTGCTGACGAGACAGATGACAGTGCTGGATTGGAAGAGCGACTGAAGAAGGTCTGAGGGCGGTAGTAGCGGCCTTTCCAGGCGAAGACAATGCTGTGGTCTTCTTGAAGTAGCGGAGTCATTGTGTCGCATGGAAGGTTGTCATAGATCTGGTGAAGTTCAGATATCGTGCTGCTGATCGTGGTGAGGAAGGGGTTCAGTTTGGCCGTTTGCTGGCCGTGGTTGCCTGATGCAGGTGCGAGATATAGCTGCTCCTTCCATTTTCGAGAAAATGTTATGGTATGACTCCAGCTCTTGCATACTCGTTGACACGTGAGCAGATCAGCTAGCGAGAGATAGTCAAAAAAGCGGTCCAGTGCTTTCGGATTGGCGAGGATCCTCTCTTTGGCATACTTTTTCGCGGCGTGCTGCTGCTTCGGTGAAGGCAGATCAAGATGAGAAGAGAAATTGATCGCGTTGGCATTTAAGTTTGTCTTCATGCTGCTCAAGTCGGAATCAAGAAGTGGTTGATTGCTGGTGAGCTTCGAAGAGGAGGCAGTGGAATGCTGATTGCAAACTTCGCTGGATGGAGTCCTCTGCGTGACCCATGGCTTTGTAAAGAGCGCAAGAAGGTTCATTGTGTGCTGAGCATGCGGACTCGGGGTTTGTGACTGCATAGCATGATCATGATCTCGTGTCGATGTCCGCGGTGTTCGTGACCGTGGCTTCTTTTGCTTCGAAGAAGGTGTCATGGGCATAGAACTGTAGCTCATGGAGAGCAATTGCGCATTGAGGTGCTCCATGTGGCCTGACTTCTGATAAGTACCGAAAGCGCGCTTCTAGTCTTGGTTGCATGAAGAATATTGCTGTTCTGACACTGAAGGAAAAGAGTCGTGCGAGACTATGCATTACCACTCAAGGAAGTGAACAACCAGTCACCTACATAATCCATGCTTTTTCAGCTGAGGGAGCACATGCTGAGAGCCTACATGTGAAAGCGAGTCCAGCTTGTGATCTGTGTGCCCTGACGAGTGAAGCATGAAGCTCATACTCGACGGTCTTGTTTGTGCTGATTAGCACCTAGCCTCATGATGTAACACGAGCCATTGAGTCTGAGGGCCGAGGCAGTAGCAGCTCACAACAGGTCAAGAATGTCTTTCTCGGCATCGTTGGCGAGCAGCTCCAGCATGCCTTTGGGTATGATTGGCTTGCCATCGCCACCCTTGACATATTTGAACGGCATTTCGATCGTCTCATTGGCCTTGATCTTGCCATTCTCGTCTGTGATGGGAATTTCAGGACGATCAATGTACTCAATTTCGCTGAGGTTTTCTGGTAGCATAGTCAGCGCAATGTCGTCCCGCGAAGAATTTCGACAGAGCTTACTGCCCTCCTGGACAACGATTCTAGTGGTTCGCACAGCAGTATCGGTTGTCATCTGCTCGGGCCCTAGTCGACGCCCTGGAAATCCCAGCTTCCGTAGGTCACCAGTGCGATCTCTCGGAGGGTCGTCGCCGAGAATGCCGCCAAACAGAAATGCATCGAAGAGGGGTCCATCCTCTGGACTCAGATCCTTCTCTGCTTTAGGGTCGAGCAAGCAGACTTTCTGACGAGCTTCCTGAGATGGGCAGATGGATTCTACTGTGCGCTCTGTGCGCTCGGCCTTGGGTATGACGAGCTTCTCAAACTTGTCGAATTCTGGTGTCAGTCCTGAGAGCAGGAATTTGTTTCCTGAGTTCTGGCTTTCCTCGGAGATGGCGTTGTACTCGAGAGCCTGCCAGTCTTCCAGCTCGGGGTCGAGATGCTCAACGATGTAGGTGGCCATTGTCAGCAGTTATACAGTCTCAAGTCTGAGAGTACGATGTATCTTGACAGCGAGCGTAGATGTCTGCGGTTGACGCATGTGAAGAAAGCTCGGCTTGACTTTTTTGTGGGACCGGAGTGGAGAGCGCGCCAATGGGAGAGCACAGAATAAGAATTCCGAGGTCGGCCAGTGGAATTTATACCAGCGCTAGACATTGTGTCTCTGCGAACGAGTACTGTGATTGCCATTGACAAGCAACATGTTGGCAGCACGAAGACCCGCAGCCGCGCGGGCGCATCTGCTGAGTCTGCCCACGGCAATCCGGCAGCAAGTCCTCTCGCGGACCCTCGCAACCGCCAGCAATGCCTCGAGCACGCCTGCTGCCTCTTCGGTCGAGTCGCGAACGCCTCCCTACTCCAAACTCCTCAAACGCCTGCACGAGGTCCGCCGCCTGTTGCCCAACCGCCAGCTCACCCTCGCCGAGAAGATCCTCTTCTCCCACCTCGACAATGCTGAGGAATCGCTGCTCCAAGGCACGAACAATGGCACCGATATCCGCAGCAAGGCCACGCTCAAGCTCAAGCCCGATCGCGTGGCCATGCAGGACGCCAGCGCGCAGATGGCACTGCTCCAGTTCATGAGCTGCGGCATGCCGACAACTGCCGTGCCAGCGAGCATCCACTGTGACCACATGATTGTGGGCGAGAAGGGAGCAGACATCGACGTGCCGAACAGCATCAAGGGCAACAAGGAGGTCTACGACTTCCTGGAAAGTGCAGGAAAGCGATATGGGATTGAGTTCTGGCCTCCAGGAGCTGGTATCATCCATCAAACTGTGCTGGAGAACTACTCCGCGCCTGGGTTGATGATGCTGGGAACAGACAGCCACACGCCGAACGCAGGAGGTCTGGGAGCCATTGCTATTGGTGTGGGCGGTGCTGATGCTGTGGACGCGCTGGTCGACGCACCTTGGGAGTTGAAGGCTCCAAAGATTCGCGGTGTTCGCTTAGAGGGCAAGCTGAGCGGATGGGCATCACCCAAGGATGTTATTCTCGCCCTTGCCGGCAAACTGACAGTACGAGGTGGAACTGGATACATCACAGAATACTTTGGTCCTGGTGTGGAGTCGCTTTCATGCACGGGCATGGCGACGATATGTATGTGAGGGCCGCATGTTAAATGAGAACCAACGCTGACAATTGACAGGCAATATGGGCGCCGAGGTGGGTGCAACCACTTCCATCTTCCCTTACACACCCACTTCGCATGGGCCGTATCTGCAAGCCACACATCGTGGTTCGATCGCTGAGCAGGCGAACGCAATCGCTGCTTCGCCAGGTGCCCACAATCTCCTGGTCGCTGATTCGAACTGCGAATACGACGAAGTGGTAACAATTAATTTGTCTGAGCTGGAGCCTCACATCAACGGACCTTTCACGCCAGATCTCTCGACACCGCTGTCCAAGTTCAAGGAAGCCGTTAAAATGAACAAGTGGCCAGACACCTTCGGCGCGGGACTCATAGGTAGCTGCACAAATAGTTCATACGCAGACATGACTAGGGCGGAATCGCTTGTCCAGCAGGCTACTGCTGCTGGTCTGAAGCCAAAGGCGGACTTCTTCATCTCTCCTGGAAGTGAGCAAATTCGTGCTACGCTGGAACGAGACGGCACGCTGGAGACGCTTCAAGAAGGCGGAGGCCTCGTGCTTGCTAACGCTTGCGGCCGTGAGTATTCTCTCCCCACGTTACGATGGTTATGACTGACAATCAATAGCTTGCATTGGTATGTGGTCGCGAACAGACGGGGTTCAGAAAGGCGAGGACAACGCCATCTTCACTTCCTACAACCGCAACTTTCCTGCACGAAACGATGGCAACCGCAAGACGATGAACTTCCTCGCATCCCCCGATCTCGTGACAGCTATGTCTTACGCCGGTAGGACGGACTTCAATCCAATGACTGACAGCCTCAAAACGCCTTCCGGTGAAGAGTTCCGCTTTGAACCACCCAAGGGTACAGAGCTGCCATCTCTCGGCTTCGCCGCAGGAAATCCCATGTTCCGCCCTACGGAGCCCGTCCCCAACCCCAACGTGTCCATCGCAGTCGACCCGAACTCTAGTCGTCTTGAGTTGCTTGAGCCATTCGAGCCATTCCCAACAGGCGAATTGTCTGGCCTGAAGGTGCTGGTCAAAGTCAAAGGACAATGCACGACAGACACGATCTCTGCTGCAGGTCCGTGGTTGAAGTACAAAGGCCACCTCACCAACATTTCTGAGAACACGCTCATTGGCGCAGTCAACGCAGAGACCGGAGAGGTTAACCAGGTCGCTGATATCGATGGGTCCAAGCACACCATTCCCGATCTTGGCAAGAAATGGAAAGCGCAAGGTCAACCATGGCTCGTTGTCGCTGAGCACAATTATGGCGAAGGATCTGCTCGTGAGCACGCTGCCCTCCAACCCCGTTTCCTCGGCGCTAGGATCATTCTTACGAAATCTTTCGCGCGCATTCACGAGACGAATCTGAAGAAACAGGGTGTGATTCCTCTCACTTTCGAGAACGAGGCCGATTACGATAAGATGGCGGGATGCGACGAGGTTGCAACCGAAGGACTGTACGAGATGCTCCAGGGAGGCGACAACAACGTCAACCTGATTGTGAAGAAGAAGGATTCCGGCGAGACATTCAAGGTGCCAGTCAAGCACACTTTCTCACCTGACCAAAAGTCATTCATCCTGGCCGGCTCAGCTTTGAATCTACTTGCAAAGAAGAGCCAGCAAAAGTCATGACGGGCCTTGTTCTATTCGCATGTGTCTAGCGTTTGTTTGCCTCGTAAAGATACCAACGGGCGGCGTTATCAGAGAGGTTGGAAAAAATGTACAACATATTTCGCGCACATCGATGCAGCTCGTTCAGAACTTCCGTTGCATCCGAGCGTCCACGGGTCATCCATGTCAACCTTGTCGCTGCCCGGCTGGCTCCAATGTGATGCTGCACCACAACACCGCAAGCTTGACACTGCACAACCGTCGCACGCGCGACTAAAACTGGCAAAGGAAACTCAAAATGCCGCGATCATCGCTCCAACGTCATATACGATGTCGACGCGTTCTGCTCCACTAACGCTTCGTCAATCGGCACCACGTCCATACTACCTGCCTGTTTGGGCCCTGTACCTGCCAATGACGACGGCTCAGCCCATGACACGCTCTGACCGCCAACAGTCGGCAAGTCGCTTCCAGAAAAAACAGTGAAGACATAAAGCCCGCAAACACTCATCTATGAAGCCAAGCTTCTCGTCCAAGCCTTTTCACCAAGCCACCATGGCGCTCTCAAGCTTGATCTTATTGCTTGGCTGCACTGCAGCGGTTGTGGACGCTGGCCTCGCTGCTCGGCAGAGCATGCTGGAGAAGCGGGGTCTCAATCGACTAGCGAAGCGACAGGATCTGCAACAACAGCCCTCTTTTCCGAATCAGAGGCAGTTTTTGAATAACAAGACGCAGCCGTACTGGGTCAACGGGTCGGCTTTGCCTGAGGTCTATTTTGATATTGGAGAGAGCTATTCTGGTTTGCTGCCGATTGATGAGTCGAAAGAGTTGTTCTTCTGGTTTGTGCCGAGTACGAATCCAGATGCGAAGGATGAGATTACAATTTGGTTGAATGGAGGTGAGGACATATTCGCGTTATCTTGTACAGTTCAGCCTCGAATACTGATGATGCTTGGTAGGACCTGGCTGTAGCAGCATCGATGGCTTCTTTCATGAAAATGGACCTGCGATCTGGCAGCCTGGTACATACCTTCCGGTGCCAAATACTTGGGCCTGGAGCAACTTGACGAATATGGTATTCATCGAACAGCCTGTCGGTACGGGGTTCTCGCAGGGTACTCCGAATGCGACCAATGAGGAGGATGTCGCAGCTCAGTTCCTACCATTCTGGAAGAACTTCATCGATTTGTTTGAGCTCCATGATCGCAAGGTTTACGTTACGGGAGAATCGTACGCTGGTTAGTATTGCTACATCAAACTCCAGAGTGTCGTTGCCAGCTAACATGTGCTAGGAATGTACTGCCCCTACATTTCCGCTGCGATGATCGAGCAGAATTGCACAAAATACTTTGACGTCGCAGGGATGATGATTTACGACCCCAGTATCCAGCCACAGGTCTCCTCGGAAGTCGCAGCCTTGCCCTTTGTCAAGGCCCACTATCCCGATTTCCCATTTAACGAGACATTCACGGCATTCCTTGAGAACAGAACGCAGGCTTGCGGGTACAACGAATACATCGAGAACGGACTGCAGTTCCCACCAAAAGGCACATTCGACAACCCACCGGGCGTCAACTACACGAACAATTACACCTTGGACGACTGTCAAGTCTTCGATCCTATCTTTGAAGCAATCTTCGAAATCAATCCCTGCTTCGATATTTATCAAGTCGGTCAAATCTGTCCTCTCCTTTGGGATGTCCTTGGGTTCCCATACCCGGCCACGTACTTCCCAGTCGGCTTCACGCAGCCTTATTTCAATCGCACCGATGTTAAGCAAGTTATTCACGCACCAGAAAACGTGAACTGGCAAATCTGTACCGACAAGGACGTCTTTGTGGGGGACAATGGCGACACGAGTCCGCCTTCCGGTATCCAAGGAGGTCCTCTGCAGAAGGTCATCGAGAAGACGAACAATGTTATTGTTGGGCATGGAGATCTGGATATGGTACTCATTGCCAATGGAACACTGCTCACATTGAACAACTTGACTTGGAATGGCCAGCAAGGTTTCTCGAAGCCGCCTATCGATCCGTTCTATGTACCTTACGGGGACGATTATGTGAATGGTTCGATTGCAGGCTCCGGAGTCATGGGAGGACATGTGACAGAAAGGGGTTTGACGTTTGTGGCTGTTGTGTTGTCGGGACATGAGGTTCCTGAGTATCAGCCTTCGGCAGCGTATAGGCATTTGGAGGTCTTGTTGGGGAGGGTGGGGAATTTGAGTGAGGTCAGTCCGTTTACGACGCAAAGGTATGTGGAGCAGCCAAAGTTCGAGAAGGGGCTGGGCAGGGGTACGTGGTGGCCTAATGTTGAGGAGAGGTTTACAGTCCAGGGTTAAGGAGAACTGTTAGGGATCAAAAGCGATAAATTGAGATCCTTGTAGCGGATATCCTCAGCGATGAAGAACGATGACTATGACGAATGATGAGTATGGCCATGATGAGATTGTGTGTATAGCTCCGGCTAATGAGTCTCATGGTCACTTCAGTGCATCTTTCCAACGATCAAGCTTGACCACGACACGAACTTCGTCCTACGACTCAAAAGCCGCTTCCGCTTCTTCGATCAGGTCGTCTCTCTTCACCTTCCTGTTCGACAGACTGTATCTTCCCACAGCATTGAACGTGGGGCTGCTGAACCAAAGGGCGTTCCCCGGTCGATAGTTGACAGCAATATTCAGATTAAGGCGGGATCGAGCCTACGAGACCTGGAATTTGGAACTGTTGGAAGCCACCGGGGAAGTCTACGTAAGTGTACGTCAGAGTCTTGTCGTCGAAACCCGCGAGGCGATTGTTTGAGGCGAAGTAAGACATCCAGACGCGGCCGTCGGAGGCTGGGCCTGTGTTGACGGAGCCGAAGGCGGGGTCCTGGTTTGTGCGGTAGAGTTCGATTTTGTGGGAGCGCATGTTGATGCGGCCTGGAAAGACGGTTGATTAGCTGTGATGATATGAGAACGGATAGGATAGTGGAGACGAACCCATGCCGTTCCCCGTGAGGAGAGTAAAATACACCCAGCCGTTCTTCTCTGCTCGAACGACGGAAGGTGTCATGAGAGGAACGGGAAGGGGGTATTCTCGGAACTGTTTGGTTCTCTTGTTGAACGTAAAGATTTTGTTTCCGATGACTTCGCAACCGTAGACGAGGCCGTCAGAGGCGACGAAGACTCCTAACGGAAGGGAAAGTGGTGTTGGGATCGTGTACTGTTGAGTGAAGCGCTGCTGGCTATAGTCAAAGTATTGGAGCACGTTGCCTGTGGTTTGTGTGACCCACATGCCTTGGGCATCGGTGTAGATGTCGTTGAATGGGAAGAGGTTGCCTAGTACGTTTGGAGGGTTGTGGAAGATACGGATTCGCTTGTCACGCGTACGAAGTTGAACGAGTTGGTTGCGGACGCCGTTGCTGGCGTAGCTGATGATCGTTAGTTTCACGTGGTAACGAACTCATTGACTGGAACGTACATATTTCCGTCGGCTCCTTCACGGATGGCACACGAGAATGCTGTGCGGTCACCGACAGGTTTAGGAACCGTGATTGGAATTGTGGTATTGCTTGCTCCCGTGGTAAATGGGATCTCGTATTCCGTCACTGCGCCGTTGGCGGGATTGATACTGAACAGTTGATTGATGAACTGCTGTTCGCCGTAAAGAAGGCGGTCGACGGGGTTGTAAGCCATGTCACACGGACCAGATAGAGCGGTCTTCATTTGGTAGAAGGTAAATCGGCCATCTGTCGTCTGGCGAGCCTGTACGCCAGGCTTTCCTTCTGCTTCATAGACAAGGTGATCGTTGCCAGCGATGGCAGCGGCGTGTGCTGCAAGCAGCGCGACTGCGAATCTGGACAGCATGCTGCTGGAATTCGTCGGGATATCGACGACAGGCGGTTTGCGAAGTGCAACTAGCGAGATGGAGATGTGGAAGAGGTCGCCATGGGGCGCTTTATGGCGATGCTGAAGGACGGTAGGAGCGGTGTTTGCGGCTCTTCCATCATTGTGGCTGTTGCTGGCGCGAGCTCACAGTAGCGTGACTAGAGAATCTAGATTCCGTTATATAGATGGTAGACGAACGCTTGCCTTTGGCCGGTCTGCGATGTGGCGCTCCCTACGCATGACCTCAAAAGTCAACATGATCGCGAAAGGTTTGCAACAGGCGAGAGTCCTTAGCACTTCGTAGGCGCTTGATCTCGCCCTCCACCACCGCAGCTGCTCGTAAGGATATAGATGAAGGTCAATCGGTGGCTTTGTCTAGAACGCCACAGATGGATCTGCGAGCCGGCATCAATCTTAAATGGCTAGCGGTGGCTTCTTTGCAGCACAAGATAGCTTAAACCCCGCTACAGACACCTCCTCTCCAGGAAGCAACCGACGGCCACGCAGCTTTCCAAATAAACAAGCAGGCAAAGGCGGCGAATGAGGTCTCGTCAGAGGCTTCTACCAATGTTGCCCAGGATCGGGAACTTGGCTGTAAGATCTGACACGCACGTGTATGTCGATTCACATCGCTGGCCATAATCTATGCAAAGTATTGCGCACTCCAGGTAGTTTGAGATCGTTCGGACTTGCGTGCCTGGCCATGTTCCAACCATCGATGAGGTAGCCTTCAATTCTCCACCTCGCCCACCAAGTGTGCATGATCTTGTAAAGATCGAGTTTACCAGGACCTGGATCCCGCCCCTCGTGCTTGTTATACATCATCTGCAATAGAGGCAGAGTTGACAATGTTTCTCCAACGCGTTCGGCGAAAGGGCTTCGAAACAAGCGGTAGGAAGTGGCAAGCTCTGGAGCCATGCCAGGAAATGGAAAAGAAGTATGGATGAACTTGAGCCAGCTTTCGAGGTTTGCAGAAGAGCGTCCAAGGCTTCCATCTGGCGGCCGGGATATATAAACGGTGAGCGCGCAAGTGGAATTGCCATCCTCTTGTACAACGAAATCATTGAGCCTCGAGGCTGGGAGCGTTGCGCAGAAAGTCTGAATGTGGGAAAAGTCAAATTTCTCGACCTGGGTAACAATGTCAATGGAAGCGAGAGGCAAGAAACGCGATACCTCCGCACGCAAGACCTTGTTGACCTGCGCAATGGGCGCCTTGCTAAACAGGCGATATGGAACTTCGCCATTGCCAGGCAACAAGTAAGCTTTCGGTTTCTCAGTGACATTCCTTTTCGGGTCTTGCAAACGCCAGGTACCCTGGCCAGGATCCCAGTACATGTCCTGATTCCATGACTCGTCCTTGGTCGTAGCACGTCCGATGAGGGTCGGCGTGCCCTTCACTGGAATTCGGACCGGAACACGTTCGAGGAAGACATAGTGCAGAATGCGGTCCCGCAGTTCGGTTGGCAACGCTAAGAGTGACGCCCTTGCATCTGCGGTCGTGCCTACTCCCATGATGGGTAGGGCACGGCCTGTGCATTCTCGGTTGGTGGAGCTGATCTACAGGTCGATCTCTCTGTGACGTGGCAGTGAAATGAATGGATTGAGCTTCGCCGTGGCGTTGTAGCTGGTGCGAGGCAGCGGAGGACAGCCGGCCAGCGCTGTGCATCGAATATGCAAGGCACCGCGAGATGTGAGTGCGCTGGCGAGGGGCAGCGGTCGGGTAGATCTGGGCGTGATGATGGTCGACTGGGATGGATATTTATATAGCGGGGAGATTGAGTTCGTGATCCCAGCTGCAGCACTTTCCGCCCAGCCAGGGTGCTCCCCGTCCATCACCACCACACGCGCCTGTGAAACCGGGTTCTGCGAACGTGCGACGCTTCGAGGGGGCCAACGACACGCGCGCTGG